AAAACTTGCCAGAAATTTCGGCCTACAACTGAATATCCATACACGTAAAAGTATTTTGACAATATTAGAATAACTCAGTAAACTTATTTATGTAACAGAACAGTCATCAAACGTACACCTCAAATGAAAATCTTACAGTATAACAGTTTAGTCACGGTATTTCTTTTGATTACATCTTCAGAATGTTCGAAGCAGTGTTAAGTGGTTACAATAATGCTATACCGAAGATTTTGCCCACAGGGTCAGCCTATTGCATTCTAATAGGCAAGCCGAGCCTTTGGGCAAAATCTAAACCGAAGTAAAAAGTATTACAATACTTTGTCAAGTTTCTTGATAAAACCACCTTATGGAATAATTTGGGGAGGGTTTATTTAATTTATAAGTATCACTTATTATCGGGATTTTGGCTCCTTATTCAAATAAATTATATAATCAAATAAATATAAAAATAAAAGTTCTTTTAAACGATTTGACTATTATCTGTCGTTAGCCAGGAGAGTCCGAATAAAGTACGTCTACACTAAAAACGTGGCAAATAAAACAAATACCAGCTGATTGACCTTTTTTATGTTTGCTATTTTTTTTAAAACGCTCATCACTACTAATCTTATCTACGACTTATGAATATTGAAAAACACCTTTCTGAGATAATAGATAAGATACAGGCCCATAACCAGTCAGTACAAGCAACCTTTGTTTATTATTGGCACTAAATTTAAATGTCAAATGGAGCCCTTTTTTTTCAAATAATAGTGAGGTAATAAAACATCATGATATAATAAATACTACATAAAAGTAAAATATTGGCTGCGTTCATGACGATAAAGTTAAAAGTTGCTTGAGCAAAACAAAACATAATTTGGCCTGAAAATTTAATCTCAGCGTCGGATATAATGTTTTGTCGTATCGGTTATTTTAACGATCTCATTAAGCCTCAAGCATTTGCCTTAAAACATGCTTTGGAGTGAAGGAAATCCGCTGTAGTTACTTTTTGATGAATCATTTTAAATATCGTATACCTACTCTCTAAAATTTACTTCCTGTAAACTGTTATTGTAGTTGCGCAAAACATTGTGTCGTTAATGTAGTGTGTATCGTTAAGTGAATCAAAACATAATTTGTCGTATAGTTTGATATGATTCATTTTAATATGAGCACTTTGTCGTCCATCTGTTTTTTTTTTTTAATTTATGAAGAAATTTTAATAAACAATTATGTCTACGATTCCCGTCAACCAATTTGATGCAAATAAAATATAAATTTTATATGAAATTTAACTTAAAGCAATGACTTTTTTGCAGTTGGTTAGATATTATTGACTGCCACGTACACCGATGTAATGTACTACATTTTACCCACGACAAAGATAACTTGGAAAACGGGTAATTTTGCTGACGTAAGCAACTTAAATAATCATTTTTGAGTTGATTCATTGCACCAAGCTTGAATAGGCTACCTAAATAATTAAGTTTATACTTAACTTTGGAGGCTGAAGTTCTTGTTCCGGCAAGCACCCCCTTGATTGCGGGTTCTATTGCTTATTAATATTCATAGCATCATTGTTATCCCTTGTTTACTATTCATTCTATCTCCAACTTTATTCTGCCAACCCTATACAGCATTGGAATTACGACATCACAACTCACATAGGTACGCTAGCTAAGCTGGATTGTGAGATCCTCCATATGCAGGTTTGGTAAAATGTTATAAGGTTCTTCATTTACTACAATCATACACATCTCAAAATCTACTAATATATGGTGAATTTAAAATACGGACTTATAAGATACGGTGTCACGAATAATTTCGTCTAACTCTTAGTTTTGGATAACTTCATCTATTACACAACTAATAACATGTCTTCCAAACCTTGCAATATCACATAGCAGACAATTATACCCAACTGCTACAGATGGAAAGTGTCAAATTTCGCTTAATGGGATCAAACTATGTGCATATAACGAAGTTTTGAAATGTGAATAGAAGCCAAATCTGATGCTCTCGGACATGTCAGCCGAAATGTCGACAGCAACAGAACAGCCTCGTTAATTTAAACGACAACTGAACGTCAAACTGTCGCCTGTTCAGGGACGATTCATCAGTTTCGTAACATAGTAAAATCAACTCTCAGTAATTCTTGTTAAAGCACATATTCACTGTAACATCGACCCTGAGTTTCGTTTAGTATAGCTCGACACATTAAATAAGTTTCGTAGCAGAATTTTACCTACCGCAATCTTTTACACATCTGTTGTTAAGTAGTGATTAGTAATGGTTTTGGCGGACTCCTCCGAAACAACGTAATCGATTATATATATATGTATATGAGGGATATTCTCATAGAATAGGTCGCAAAGTCTTTTTCGCCTCATCACATCACATCAACAGCCTATACTAGTCCACTGCTGGACATAGGCCTCTCCTTAGAAAGGAGGTTTTGGCCTACTATACCACGCTGGCCAGACGGGTTAGTATAGGGTTTGTTTCAAGTTTTCCTTCTCTTTGCAGTGCTGTTGTCCTGCTTAGTTTGCTCCCTTAGTCGGCTCTTACGACACCCACGGGATGAATTGGGGTGGTGACAATTTGTATTCTTCATCCGTCACCACACGGACTTTTTCGCCTTCCTACCCCCATCTCCCATTTTTGTGATAATTCATATAGCCGAACAACGTTTTCTGGGTCAGCTAGTTTAATATATACATATCATACATATCTCGTCTCAAAGTATTTATGGTCGCTCTCCTCCCTAAATGGTTCGACCAATTTTTTTCGTATATTTGGTAGGTATGAGAATAGATTGTAAATTATTTTTTACCTTCTAAAGCAGATGAAGTTGCGCGGGTCAGCTAATATAAATATTTATTGTACACAACTGACACAAACTTAATACCTTAGATTGAACTTGTATAGTTAAAGCACTTCTTGACGGCAGATTTTAATAAAAACAAAATAAATATATAATAAATATATATATACTTAGGGGGAAGTCCCCTAGTGCCGGACACATAAGGTTTTCAGGAAATAAAATTAAAACTACATCGAGAAATATGTATTTATTTATGAATTACTTAAATTAACAAAACATAAAATCAAAATCAAATAACAAAAATACAAATTCTGCGTAAACATAGTTTAGGAATGTTAAATAAGTTTTGGTAAAAAAATAAAGGACTTTGACATTGGCACCTAGTGCCGGACGGGTTAATCTTCAAACCCCAAGCGCCGGACATTCTAAAACTTTTAGCATCTATCACATATGTAGGCATCTCCACATTCTGGAACGTCTGCACATGCTTCATGAGCCCATTATTGGCATCTGGAGCATTGTATCCAGTCCTCGTCGTGGTCTTCTAAACACACTACACAAGTCGTTTTTTCTATATTTGATACTTCAGTTAACGGCTCCTTTCTGTTGTCGTTATTGCCACGTTTGGTTTGTTTACTCATGGGGAATCTTCATAGCTTCAGCCAAGTCGTAAGCTAACTTCAAAAACTCGTTTTTCATCAGGGGCAGACATCTATTAGACAAATCTCTTATGTGGTCCACTGAAACTTGCTCATACTCGGGTGAGAAGGTTTTTGTGAATCTACCAACTTTTGGTTGCAACGTGACTTCTTTTCCACTGCTCAATGTCGTTATTTTATCATGTAGAGTACTTTTTGGAACATTGTAACGTGACGAAGCTGCCCTCAAACTCATTTTTTTGGACAAAATCTTGTTCATCGCAGTTTTTAAACTTTGCTGATCCCATTTTCTTTTTTTTTTTCTCTCTTGCATTTTCAAATATCTCTCTCCTTCTATCCTGTAAAACAACAAACAATCATCATTACAATAAGTACAAATGCTTCATAAAAAAGCTAACCTATAAACCGTCCGGTGGTAAGGGACACCTTTGTGTCCGAAAGTAGGGGACAGGAAACGTCCAAAATTACGTATTTCATACTAAAACTGTTTAGGTATTTAATAAAAACTTTCACAATATAATAATTATAGTGAAACACTGTCTTTATTAACAAATAACAAAAACAATTAAGGATAAAACCATAGCAGTAATACTTACTTGAAATTTACGTGACGCAACGCTTTCCCACCAAAAACAGCAATTCACCGCTTCCACCACGACTGTGCGTCTCACTGGCAAATCGCGTTGCGTGATCCTGTCTCGCTACGTTCCCCCGCACCCCTTTCACCGATTTATAAATAGATCGCGTTGACGTTTGTCAAAATAATATGAGTGTCCGGCGCTAGGTGCCGTCCGGCGCTACGGGACTTCCCCCTACTTATTTAATAATATATTTACTTATTTATTTTATAAAATGGACTGTAAATCGTATGTACTATTTGCAGTGTATATACGAACAAAAGTTAGAATTCAATTCGTTAGAATTTAATGTTTCTAAAGATTGATAAATATTTAAGAAATTATCTTTTGTAAGACTCCGCTTCCACAGCTTGTCTAGGTACTGCCACAAACTTCAAGTACATTTAACACCAAGGCTCCAAGGATCAAATTTCCAGCAAACTATTTTCATTATCGTCGACCTACGTTTACCCCAATTTTATTTGGAGTCACCGTAATATGTTTACTTCTTACATTTTAAGCTTTCATTTAACTACATAAGAAATGCTAGGTCATAACTTCTTTTACAAAGTCCATTGGTTGTTCTTTTCTCTTGTACTTCTCCACATTTTGTCCATCTTTCTGCATCACAAGTTCACCTGTCAATACTATATTTATTACTCTGCAACTTTTCATTTACTGTCATTCCATACAAACTTGGTGTTACAAATATTGGTCACTGTTATCTGTGTTATACCTGTTAGATAGATAACGCACCTCGTACAGCAAGATAAAACTAAACGAATGCGTCGAGTAAGTAAAACTTATCAGTATAGTACCGTATCTATGGATTCCTGTTGTGCGTAGTGTTATTGCGTGATACATGACGAGAGAAACAAGACATTAAATTCATGTTAAAAGTGATATTTGTTAAATAAAATGGGTATAATATCATGTCAAATGTGTATTTTCAAACCACCAGATGAAGTTTATAAACAAGGCGAAGTTGTAGCCGGATTGATAAAATACACCATACTTGAACCAGTTGAAATACAGAAAATCACAACGTCTCTTAAAGGTATTGGTACTATTGTTTTGAAAGTACACCGCGGCACGAAAAACCGAGTGACTTACAAATCCAAAGAAACCTTAGTTGATATAGATAATATTGTTCAAGATGAAAAAATGAAGCTGGAAAGCGGTTCACATGAAATAAAATTTCACTTTACTTTACCCGATACAATTCCATCGACATCTAAAATCTGTAAGTGTTTTGGAAATTTCAAGGCAACATGTGTTATTAAGTATTATATACGTATAAAACTACAAGGATCTGGCTTGTTTTCTATAGAAAAACATTTTAGAAAGGAAATCCCTGTAAAATCTGATGTTGCACCAACATTATCAAGGGAACCTGTCAATTATATGAAAAGTAAGAAGCTGGTGCGACTGTTTTCAAGTCAGAACGGCTTGATTAACATAAAAGCAACTATACTTAACTCTGCATTAGCTATTGGTGGCAAAATAGTATTACATTATGAAGTGAAAAATGATAGCCATGTGATTGTGAAAAGTGTTCAAACCAAATTGATACAAGCATATATGTTTAAAGCGGACGGTCGAAGTGCAATGAATTATGAAGAGGATGTACCAAGTACAGAAGCCAAAATAACGTCAATTGATAGTCAAACTACTCGTACTGAATGTATAGATATCCAGTTACCGTCTAATATTTATAATTTAGAGAATTCCAAATTACTTTCAAGATATTATTTTGTAAGATTAATAGCTCAATTGCCGTTGCCGCATGGAAATGTAGTACTCAATATTCCTGTACAGATAGGAGTTAAAGAAAATGCAAATGATAATAAGATGGCGCAAGATTATGAAGATATAATTGACGACGATCCGCCGCCGTCTTATTGGGAAGTTATGGGTGAAGCCAGAAAAGAAAATGATGAAAGCAGCGATGATGATGATGATGAAAATCATAAGAGTAAAACAAAAAAATAATATTATATCACCATGTTTATGTAGTAATAATTATTTGTATTTAGGATTTCAATAATAAATAGGGAAATCTTATCCGACAGATTAGATAATAACTAAAGATATGACTCACATAAAGTTAACGCTTATTTACTTTTCATGTTATTTATTTAATCCCCATTGTTTTGTTTTTTAAGTAAATTAAAAATATACTACTGTTATATTTCATATTTATTTAAAAAGATTCTAAAACGTGTTTAAAGCTCATCAAATTACGTGATTTAAAGAATAATATCTAAATATTTGATTACCCCTTCCATTAACATGTGTGTTATTAAAAATTACCAGAATTTTTTGACAATTACACATTTCATGACTTATGATGGCAGTTCTAAGCTATATTAATTATAGGGTATTATTAAGCAACTACATATAAATGTGTATTTTTTCTTGATCCTTATCTAATTAAACTCAAGAAGTATCTACTAAAGTAGCGCCTTCTCATAAATAAGTGAGTTTTAATCTTACTTACAACTTTTAAAACTTGCATGTGTTTCGTTTTATAAATGTAAATACTTGGCTTCATATAACATTGTTATATTTATCTATATTCTTTGCAAATAAATGTTTTCTTATATGTATATGTTAAAATTTCGTGTGGTTTGACCAGTATTTAATATAATAAAGTAACTAACTAACTATAATAACTATAATAACTAACTAACTAACTATAATATAATAACTAACTATAATAAAGTAACTAATGTTGTTCAAGTGTATTGTCTCTTCATGAAAACTAACTAATCATATTATAATATTGTACACAGAGTATAAAGTACAAAAAAAACGATTTTTAATTAGTTGGAAAGCTTCCTATTATTATTTTTGCAGATGGTAAATTTGGGAAAAAGAAGATAACAATGTTTGTTTTTTATGTTAAAATTCACTTATCTCTGGCGCTAGTCGTAGTAGGATCATTTTGTAATGTGAAATATATTTTATACTAATAAATAAAATTGTAGTTTCGGTTAATCGTTTTAAATATCACCCTTAAGACAAAAACAAAATCACTACTCTAGTACTGCTGGCTAATCTCGACTCTGAAAAAAAAAGAACCAGTTAGCTCAAAAAGTACTCAATTGGTCCATTTGGGTGGCGCTGATTTACTCGTATGCCAGCACAACCTTATTTTATTATAATTTTATTACAAGGATCAGGTGCAACGCAAAAAGGTTTTAGACTATTTACACCTTGTCTAAATTTGTAACGCCTGTGGTAATATACTCCGCTGTAAATTATTAACGACTTTTAGTAAAAAAGTAAAATGTCTGACAAGTCATTCATTGAGAAGCAACAAGTTGCCTGCATTACGAGACTTATTTATGAAACATAATTTGACTTCAGTATGATACAAGTATTATTCACAATATAGGTACGTGTCATCGCATTGTTTCATAACTTTTTGTTATAACTTGACTACATTAATGAATAGTTTGGAAACATGCGTAATAACCTTCTTTGGGGTATCGTATACAGCGCTATCTGCTATAAAGTGTCGAAGCTAATATATATATATCTTAAAGCCTCTTATCTGAAATATTATTATATGAAATAATCAGTTTTATGTTATGAAGAGGAGTCGACCTATTTATATTTAAAGTTATAGTTAATGTTAAATATAAAATGCATCCGTCTGGCAATTAATTTTATAACCTTAATTTATAAAACGTACTAATATAGCTGTAGGTTCAAATTGTTACTAACATCTATGAGTCTCAGTTACTCCAATAAATAAATTCTTATTATTATTATTAATAATACAAGGCCCACAGGCAGTTATGTTAATATTTTTGTTTAATCTTCTTTTTTTATGAAATATATTGATGCAAAAACTTATTTTTAAGAATCGGTTATAACTTAACTTGTACCCGTTTCACGTTTAACTGAGGCGTGATTTCCTTCAGTACCTTTATTGGTTTTTCAAGGTTTATTTATCTGCCTTGGATCTAATGAGGTACATGGTGCGGTTTAGTCTAAGAACAAATCCGCTGGAAGGAGTACAAATGAAAGCATTTGTACTATTCCACACTTAAGCTGGTTAGATTTGAAAAATATAGTTTATATTAAGGTATAATATACTTAATCATCTAAGTATATACCAAATTCTAGTAGAATATCATTTAGTCTCCGTTTAATCAGAATTGCTATAAAATATCCGAAAATCGCATCGCATATCCGAACATGAACGTAAAATCCTATTTATAATATCTATGTTGATACATTACAAATCAAAAATAGCAAGCAGTAAAACTATCTATAAAAATGGTGATGTTATCACAGAGCCATATCTGTTACAACCATGGGTTATACAACAATGATACGAAGTCACAATACCCATATAAGTTTGTCGTATCACGAATTCATCTATCTCCAGTTTATATTGTTTATTTTATAAGGATAGAACACATTCTAAATACATGTATACCATATTATAAGTATTTTACAGTGTTTGGTAAAAGTCATTCTTTGGCCGGCTGGACCAGAGTGACGCCACGGCCTCACAGAAAAACGGTGTTTTGTCATTTTTTAGTTGCTTTTGAATGAGTGACCGTTTTTCGAAAGGTGAAAATTTCTGTAGGCGCGTTGGGCATTTTTGAACAACAAACAAAAGAATTTTATGGGAAACAACCATTGAACTCGCGACACTGTTAAAGTTACCGTAAACGACGCATCTGTTGAAGTAAACCTTAAGGCGCGTTGGTCATTTTTTTAAATGGGAAAAAACAATTGAACTCGCGACACTATTACCGTTAGTGACACCTCTGTATATTAGTTTTCACTTTTGTCGGCACTCCCGAGTGCAACTGTTTTTTTTTAAGACAATTTTGCTATCCCGCATCATGAAAATATATCCTAGCCGCGGGAGACTTAACAAACATACATAAAACGGACACAAAGAACACCCTGACTCAGAGCAACAATTTGTGGATGGGACACCCCATCTGGGAATCGAACCCACAACACTCACCGCAGTAGGAAGCGGCGTGACGACCGTTTAAACCACTACCCCATCCGTGCAGTCAATCGTTTATCGGATATCCACCCCTTAATACTGGAAGTGAGGCTCTCAAGAGATGGTAACGCACTTGAGTCTGCTCGCTTGTCCGCTAAACCATAAAAACAAAAGTACCTGTAGAAAAAAGGTATTTCAAAAGTCCGACAGATTCGTCTGCTATATCATCATCCTCATCATCAACAGCCTTTAAAAGTCCACTGCTGGTCATAGGCCTCTCCTTAGAAAGGAGGTTTTGGTCTTGCCAGATGTGTTCTTAAAGGGTTTGTTTCAAGTTTTCCTTCTCTTTGCAGTGTTGTTGTCCTGCGTTTTTAAGTATCTTTCTTAGTCAGCTCTTACAACACCCACTGGATTAATAGGGGTAGTGACACGCTGTGTTCTTAATCCGTCACCACACGGAATGCTGCCCCAAACTGCTATATTGTAATTTCCTATGAATTAAACGTGTTCAACCAAATCGTTTCATATGGAATAATTATTTTGTCGAATTAAGGCTTCTGTAATACAATTTAATTACACTTAATCACAAAATACACATTACTACACTGTGGACATAACTTTGGAATGTTGGTTTGTACGAAACTATAGTTTAATATTCATGACCAGTGTTCTTTGTTGTGTAAATATTTTTTAATTATCTACGAATTTTTAATTATGTAACTGCATAAAAGGGTGTTAAACTGTAATCGGCTTCAAAGCCTTTCTGTTTAGACATTAGGATAAACGACGCAGTTCTTATTTCATAGTACGGGGAGGCAGAAAACTGGAATGGTAAAAGTAAATAATGCTATAAACAAAAACTAATTTATAGTTTTAGTAACAACTCCAATACCTATATACACACATACATACATACGTACATTTTTTTATTCATTCATTCAAAGTGTAAACAAATTTATAAGAGAATTTTAATATTAATAGCATTTCCTAGGCTACGAAGGTTTATAATGAATGCTAAGGGTAAGTTTAGATCGATAAAAAAAACACACAAAGGAACACCGTTAGTTACGATCTTAAGCCTAATTATACATGGCATCAATGAAACTATTTAAGTTAAGGCTGCTTGAAACTATACTAAGTTATTAAATGCGGAAGCATTTCTATACATACGTGTGAATAGATTTAAATGAACTATTCATATTTTGAATATGTGATTAACTTACTTGAACCGAAGTAATTGGATTGGTAAACCGAAGCCGCAGCTAAAACAAGCCAGTTATAATTATTCGAAGTAATTTTCACTTTATCATAACCACGTAGACAAGTGTCAACTGATCTTAAAACAGATTTAAGGATATAACATAAGGGTTTTATTTTATTTTTAAAGATTATATATTTAAAGATTGCAATCACACAATTTTAAAAAGTAACCTAATCATAGAACGTCAGAGCACTTTTTAGTATCTAATTCTAATGATTGTCAATCTCGCGGCTCGTACTGAAGGCGTTGACACTTTTTAACAATGGTTAAGAAACAATAATTTATAAAGATCTCGTTTTATTCTCTTCTGTAATATATACTAAAAATTAAATTTCAAATACATCTGTATTTTACCAAGAGCCATGTAAAGAGTGTAATTTAAAGCGGAAATATGGGGTAGGGATCTCTAACGACACCGGCGGTACGCACCGCGGCGGCACCACTTCCATTTCCGCATTGCGTCTCTAGTTTATCTAAGCCGTGCGTTATTTGCTCTGCGTGTAAAACAATGAAGAGAGGACAGATTTACTTACGTTTCCAATTTAAACTAACAAACCCAATTTCCTCCACAGTGACACTACAAGACTAGTTAATCTTGTGTTTTTCTGCACAGACAGAAGCAAGTTATATTTACGTTTTTTAATTAGTTAGTACATAGCCACAATCATGTTGATACACAAACATACAGGCCCACGGCAAAGCGTTTGACAGTGCATATGTCGCAATACCAGTGTGTCTGTGGGGGGAAGG